ATACGTACATCTTCAGTTTGGAGGAAGGTCAAGTTACTAACTCTGCTCCTAGTTTTACTGTTGATACCATGGAGTACAAATTGGGGAGGAATACTGGTACAGCTACGTACATAGACATTACAAATATTCTACTGTTTCTCTATGAAAACAACTGCTTCGCTGACAGTCTAATATTTGAAAGACAACTGGGTATCAGCAATAGTATTCAACAACGACCACTTTTAAGATTTGCAAAGGTAAATGTAAGCATGGAGAAGTAAAGAAACAGAATTAAGTTTTAATAATGTACTTCCCAATAATCCAACGTTTGCAGCAGCACCACCTATGTATCTCTATCAGGGTACCTGCAGCGCACGCACTAGTTTCAGACCATATTGATGGTATCTAGTATCTTCCCAATACCCACATGTTCACAAGTGGAAGTTAATTAAATTTCCCGAAATAGGGAAGCTGGTTTTAGTAAATTCCAGCTGGGTCTTTAAAAACAAGACTTTATTGTACCTCACTAACAACAAAATTTGCTGCATTCTTTCCAAGGACTGTTATCAATCATTACTCTTTGCACTTGACTGCACAATGTTTTAAGATACCTATCGCGAGACACTAGCATTATTTCACCGCCATCTGTGCAAGAAACTCCCCTATCCACTGCAGAAACTTAGACTCAAAGACAAGCCTTTACCGCTCCATCGCTCTCTCATAAACAAACATTTTTCCCTTACACTGGGATAAAGGGAGTAATTAAGCATTTTTTCACCTTGGTTCACCAAAGAAAAAGCAAAGGACCACAATACTTAATTACACTTTTAATGGACTACTCTACTTAATCGTATGGTACACTTGGTCACAGAGTCTAAACAGTACGGATATATTTAGTTGTTGACTCAAACAGCTAATGAAAATAAGGCAACCAAGAACATTGACCTTCTACCTAAAGTATGTGACATAATACATTAACAGTAAGGAACACAAGGTGCTTTTATTTTCTTTATCTCAATTTACAATTTGAGGGTGACATCTTCAATCTCTCTGCAACTTTGAACAGAACTTTATTATTCTGAAATTCCTTATTGTTTTACTTAAAGGAAGTTACTTAAGGAGATTCTGAAGAATTACACTTGTCTTTGTAAAACATTGCCATCGATTCTTCTTAACAGAGGTTAAACCGATAAAAACCAAGTGTATCCATTATAATAGAAGAGAACCCTGTATACACTCAAACAGTAAGCCCAATGACAAAGAATGACTACGGGAACTCTAAACATTTAAAGTAATTTCACATGTGAGTGAAATACTACTACCACTGCTATGTAACGCCCTTACTAATCAGAACCGCCTTCACGTCCATTTCATTACTTGAGTAACAGAACTTTTCTTGAATCAGTAGGAGATGAAATCTAAATTGCCTGAAGACCAGGTGAACTTAAGTCACTTTGACAGAGCCCTGCTATCACAGAAACACACAAACCAACTTAGGCACAAAATACCCTCCTCCCCTAATAAGGGGCTGGACAATAAAACTGTAACTGGGCACTCTCGACAGAACCCAGTGGAACAAACTCAATGTTTTAACTAGGTATAATTCTAAATGAATGGTTAAAAACAGGAAACACGAATTTGTTCTTAACTTCAAGAGCTTGAATTTGTTATCTGTTTACTTTTAAATTAATCAGAGTTGTAAAAGTATCCAGTGAAACAAAAAGCCCCAAAAATGCTCAAACACCAAAAGAATCAAAGCATTACAAACCATTTCCAAGCCTCTATTTTAAGACTAATAGGCACATCTGTTGTCCTCCTGTCTGTTGCACACAACCAAGCACATGGAAAACAAAAAGTTATTCAAGAAAGCAGAACTTGTTACAATTCCTTTCCCCTCCAAACTTCTAACAGTTCCTTTCAGGCTAGACTTTCATGGGCATTTTTGAGCTTCTACTGTCACCAAAGCAGGGTCCACACCCTCCTCTGCCCGGCAATATCAGCTCCTTTAACATGTCCCCTCCTTAACATCAGCGCTAGCTTTCCAACTGATGAGTGTAAATTGGACCAGAAAAACAATTCAATTTAAAACTTTTTTTTCTTTTTTTAAATGACCATGTGAGTTTCAAGCCTGGATTAGTTCCTCACAGCCTGTCATGCAACTGGCACAGAGATGGCATGAAGACAGAACTGCTTCTTTGTACGTCAGTGACTGCTTACATCTTACATAAAACTGCAGCATTAGCCCATAGGATGTAAGTGGTAGATTATGACAGTACCAAGTTGATGTATACCAGGTGACCCCAAACCAATCATCTAAATTGACATTTGGGATTGAGTCCTAAAAAGTAACACGCACAGGTAGACAAGTTGGAAAGTACAGGGCTAATGTGTAAACCAAATGTTCCACTCTATTGCTAGCCAATGTTTTGGGAGGAGAGGAAGAAAACACTTCAGTAACTCCACAGGACAAGAGAACAAAGCAGAAACGTAACCGATTTTGCTTTCCAAATTGACTGGCCACTTGGAGCTCATCTTTACTGTTAGAAAAGCGTAACATCCTCCCTCCCAATTAGTTAACATCACAGGAAACCTCAGCTATTCCTCCGTACAAACCATTGCAGACAACACACCTCTCTTTTACTGAGAGAGCGCTCACAGAGGCAATCCTCCCACCACCCAAAGGGGCTGATCTGGGCAAGCTAACAGGAGGGAGTTAAACACAACCAAAGTGTCTGGTCTGGTTTTTTTCTCCTACTGAAGGACAGCTCCTGGATAACGCACGTTTTTTGCGGCAATGAAGGAAACCTACAGAAGTTACTACACAAACTCCCACATTAACAGCAATACAGTACTAAATTTACCAATTAAAAAACCCTGGCTTTTAAAAACTGCTTAGGGTCCTCTGTTTTCATCTACTTTTTGAAGATTTGTAGGTGGGAAAACACAAAAGCAGATGGGTGGAGAGATAAAACGGTCAGACATTACTGTTAGCAAAATCTGACAACTCCACTGCATGAAGTGAAACACAGGCTCCCTGCCAACAACCAAACCAATTGAAGACAGTCTGGAATTTCAGCCTCCATTTCAGACTGTTCTCTCTCATCCAGCACTTTCAATTCCTTTATGAGGGCTATACCCACCATACTTACTCTACACGTCTCAAGTTTGGGTGTTGTTTTGGTTTTTTTTTTTTGTTTTGTTTTTAATTGGCAATTAAAGAACTCTCAGTACTTTTAACCAGTCTGGGACTAAGAACTAAAAACCAGAAGTTATCATGTATTTGGCCTGACTATTCCCAAAAGCACAAAGTGTTCTTATTTTAGATGTACAGCACATTTTGGAACTTAAGTAAGCAAAGATGACAATTTGATTTGGGACTACATCAGCCAAAAGCTTGTGGCCCCTTCCTTACTTCTCCTAGCTAAATGAGTTTATTACAGTGCACAACGCTACTTTAGCTCTGATAAGTAAGGATTAAGAAGTTGTATTTCACTCAAATACCCAATACATCAATTTCTGACCTCTGAATACAGCTTTCTGAGGACCAAAGTAATTTTTTTTTTTACAGCGAAGAAATAATGAATGAGACATTATATAATTCTAATGCAAAATACTTCTAAGTAGTTACATATTTCTTTCCACTGTAAACTGCATACAAGTTTTCTACTGCAGCAATCAAGCTTTGCAACAACCTTCCTATCAGGCAAAAATATCTGAAATATCCAGACCAGAAAATCAATTAATTACTGAACATATATCTATCAGAACCACTATTAGTAGCATACTGATCTTAAGCAAACAGCTAAGATCAAAGAACTTCAGAATTAATAACGTTCACAAGACACTACAATAATTTTACTTAATACATTAAAGCATAGCAAAACCACTAATACAGAGCATAATTTTCATTTACGTTTCAAATACCTTTATAGACTATATTATTTATCATTCCAAGCCCTCCAAGTGGGCTGACGTTAGGCATTCCAAGATAGGTCTATTCAGGTATTGCAAAGCACCTTGGAAAACCTTTCTTCTCATTAGCCAAGAAACACAAAACACCCACCTAAAGTGAACTAAAACATTTATGTATTTTCTAGGTTTTTGATCAAAACACTAAAAACTTGCGAAGAAATACTCAAGTGGCTCCCTACTGTAAAAAAAAGCTAATTGTGCATGACAAACTAAATTTAGACATCTCCTTGTCACTTAAACTCCTAGGTCTTCTCTTGTCTTTTCAGTGACTCATGACAACTTTCTTCCAATCTCCTAAATTACAAAAGCACATTGATTTCCCTCTCCAGTATAAAAAACAGATTCCCTCCACCCCCCCGCCCCCCAGCTTTCTGGTTTACTCTCCTATAGACAAAGCCTTTGTAAATTTTAAAACTAGAAATGAGTGGATTAAAAGTCTTACGAACCCAACATTTGTCTTTGGGTCTTTACGCAAGCATTCATTCTCCACTATTAACTCAAATACCTGTTCCTTAACAAGACCAATGTATGTCTGAGCAGGTAGGGTGTATCAGTCTATTCAAATGTGTATGCACCTCCTAGCATCTGCTACAGCATAAACACTCAGCTGATATCAGACAACAAATACTCTCATTTAGTGTTACACAGGAAAAAAAAAGGCACCACAACATCTACAAGGTCCTGATGAATTCCCATTATACTCAATATCAGCATCACATTAGATGGGAAAATACATTTGTGGACCAAGCATAAAACAGAATAAATACAATTAAGTTACTTCTCAGTGTTGTTGATAATCTATGCTGCCACAAGATTTCTAAAATAGGCTTTTTAATCTAGCAATAGTCTTGCTTGTTGTGCAAGACTCGATTTTTGCCTCCCGTGACTGCCACAAATTCCCCTTTAGCAGCCTATAAACTATTTACCACAGGATCCAGGACTCAAAAAAAAAGCAATTCTATAGAACCCATACTACAGAGGAATAAATCTTACAGAACAAAGTCAACAAGAAGAAGGAAGGTAATAAAGTTAAGTTTAGCTTGTCTTACCTTGTTCATGGCTCCAGGCTGCGGCCCTCGCAGTCCAGCCTGTCCTCCCATCTGCGGCGAGCCTTGTTGCAGCGTCTCAGCCAACAAGTTACCGGCACTCCCCATGCCTGGGTTTGGGTACGGCATATTAGGTCGCCCTCTGCCTGCTCCAATTGAACCGTTCATGACTTGTCCCTGCATCATCCCCGGTCCGTTGCCTGCTGCCAACATCCCAGGATTCATGCCAGCATTCATCCCTGTGTTCATTCCCATGCCAGGCTGGTTAACTGGACTGTTTACTGTTGGCATCATTCCT